GTATTATCGTTATTAATATTATTAGTATCATTCGTATTATTACTATTTTTTATTATTATGACTACTACTATTATTCGTAGTAATTGTATCATTGCTATTATTAGTAATCCTGTTATAATTACTACTAATATTAGTAGAACAATAATAACAATTATTGTTGTTATTATGATTACTATGCTTATTCATATTATTAGTACTATTATTATTATTTCTACTTCTATATACAACTACCATATGTATGATATATTGTGGCGCGAGAGGGAGGCTGGCCCTGCCCCCCCCTGCCTGCCGCGCCAGCCGCGCCAACCGCGCGGCGAAGACCACGGCCGCAGCCGCCGCGCGCAGCCGCCTGGCGGGCGAGAGACCGGCCCACCGGGGGCGCCCTGCGGCGCCCGGGATCCTTGGCAGCCTCCTGAGCATTACAATGAAAACGTATAGTAAGGTCGCGTGGTAAGGACGCAAGACCCTTGGAGACCGAAGTTGGGTCTTTTAGGGCGGCGGACGACCAGTGATAATGGCAGGGACGAGCCTCAGAGGCAAGGACACGAGGGTACCCTAGATGAAGGCGCGCGTCCTTACTAGGCGCGTTGACTGTATCTTAGGGTGGATGGGCTTTTGCCCCTCGAGAATCAATCCGTCTTGTGATTCACCTCTTGCAGATCCAGGCCTCGAAAACCAATCGAGACGGCATTTCAGACTTCACCCTTTGCCCTCCACCCAAAGAAAATGCTCGGGCCTCTGGCTGCGACCCCAGAGCCCCTGGCGTTGCGTAAAAATCATGACGAGATGTTCACTTCATACGTTTTCAACCTCTGGGGGCCCTCGCCGGGCCTCAGGACCGTGGAGAAACGACTCGGGATGAAAAACCGGTCCCGGGGAATGGGTCGAAGCAGCTGGGGCTAGGTCGGGCATGTTCCCCTGCAGGCGGACATTGCATGACAGAGGAAGAGTCGTCAACAAATATCAAAACATACTCAGAACGTCGTCCCCAGGCTCGGCCTCGGCCGCCGGGGGCCCTCCCGGGGCCATTCTTCCGGGGCCCTGAAGGCACGCGGCTCGGGGCGAGGCGCGGGTGCAGGGGCAGAGGTCCAGGCCTCAGGGGGAGTTACCCTGCGCTTCCACGTGGCGAGAAAACTGCAGCCTCACAGAACACCTCGACCGGGGCCCTGGGCCCCATACATCTTCGGAGCCCGAGGCGAGGAGGAATCCCCCCTGGTGAAAAGGCTGCGACGCCAGCATCTCAGGGTCGGCCCAGCCCTCAAACTTTCGGGCCATGATTCTGCTCTCCCCTCGCCCTTATTCTTCCAGACCTTCCGTGCTGACCTTCCACACTCTTGCGCTTCGTGAAGCGCCGGCTTTTCCTGCGTCTCCCGAGGCTTTCAATAGTTTTAATGCATCGCCTTCCGCGCCTTCCGCAGAGGCCGGAAGGTGTGGAAGATGGAGGTGCAGGGTAAGGTGTGAACGAATCACCTCGTGCGAGGCTGTCGGGCGTGTTCGTCGCTTCTTGGCGGCTCTCCAGCCCTGGAATGCTCTCCAGCGGCCGCGCCTCGCCGAGGGCGCTCTGGGGGCGCTCTGGGCATCGTCCCGAATGGCCGCCTGAGGCCCGAGCCATGACACGAAAACCAGAGCTGCGCAGGAGGCCCAGAACTCCGACGATCTGAGTCTTTCCATCTAGGCGCGCTTCCTCGACTTCGGCCTCGTGGAGCCTGCTATCCGGCCGCGGGGACGTCGTCAACGCACCAGGGGCGGCAAAACTATTCCCAGAGAAGGGGTCGGGACCTCTCAGGGGCCGCGCATTTGCACAAAACTCAGATCGTCGGATGGTTCGGAGGGCGGAAGCACAACCAGCGGACGCCTTCCTGTTCCAACTCCGATGGCGGGGGGGTGGTCCTTGGGGGGGGGAGGGGAGGGGGGGGGTGGGGCCGCGTTCCCGGGCCCCGGGGGGCGGTTTTCATCCCAGTCATCGGCCCTTCATCAAAGTTTTGAAGGGTATTTGGTGGTGCTCCCGTTGTGGAGCCTGGGCCATTCGTGCTGCCAAGAAAGTCGTGGATCCCTGCCAAGCCCCCACAGAAGGAGGCAGGAAGGCGATCCAGAAGCTCACCCAAGGTAAACTTCCGCCAGGTCTCAACGCCTGGCTAGACGGGCCCACATGAGGCTCGTCGTCGGCTGCCCTCACGCGGAGGGGACGAACCAGCTGTCGAGGCGGGCGCGCGCGGAGGAGGACGAGGAGGAGGAGGACGAGGACGAGGAGGAGGAGGAGGAGGGGTAGGAAGGAGGGAAGTGAGGAGGAGGAGGAGGATGAGCAGAAGGAGGAATGGAGGAGGAGGAGGAAGGAGGAGGAGGAGGAGGAGGGGAGGAGCAGAAGGTAGGAGGAGGAGGAGGAAGGAGGAGGAGGAGGAGGAGGAGGTAGGAAGGAGGAGGAGGAGGAGGCAGGGAGGAATGAGGAGGAGGGGGGAGGAGAAAGAGTGGAGGATGAGGAGAAGGAGGAGGTGAGGATGGGGAGGAGGAGGCAGGAGGAGGAGAAGGACGGGAGGAGGAGAAGGAGGAGGAGGAAGAGGTGGGAGAGGAGGAGGAAGGAGGAGGAAGGAGGAGGAGGAAGGATGGAGGAAGGAGTGAGGAGGAGGAGGAGGAGGAGGAGGAGGAGGAGGAGGTGGAGAAGAGGAGGAGGAGGAGGAGGAGGAGGAGGTAGAGGAGGAGGAGGAGGAGGAAGGAGGAGGAGGTGGACTGGAGGAGGAGGGGAGGAGGAGGAGGAGGAGGAGGAGGAGGAGTGATGAGGAGGAGGAGAGAAGAAGGAGGAGGAGATGGAGGAGGAGGAAAGGAGGAAAAGGGAAGGAGGAGGTGGAGGAGGAGGACGGAGGAGGAGGTGGAGGAGGAGGGGAGGAGGAGGAAGGAGGAGGAGACGCGGACCGCTTCCGCCGCCACGCGCCCCGCCGCCGCTGCCGCGCGAGGGCCGCCGTCTGCGCAGCCGCACCGCGGCCAGCACGGCCCAGCCGGCGCCCGCAGGCGCCGCGCGCCGCGGCGGGCGGAGCGCCGCCGCGCGCGGTCAGCTGTGCCGCGGGCCGGCCTCGGCCGTCCCCGCGCCCGCCAGGTCGTCGAACGCTGCGCCCCTCCCTCCCACATTCCTACCTCCCCCTCTCCTCCTCATTCCACTCCTCCTCCTCCTCATCCTCCTCCTCCCTCCTCCCTTCCTCCTCTCCTCCTCCTCCTCCTCCACACGCGAACCCTACCCCACCACCCCACGATATCAAAGGGGGGGGGTGGGACTCGCTTCGCTCGGGAGGCCCCGAGCGAATTGAACCCTACCTCCTCCCCCTCAGAACTCGCGTGGTAGGGTTCGCATGTGGCCACCGATTGCCATCGCTCGGACGTCCATTGCCCGTGCATCTTTTTAATTATCGTGCGTGTTGTTGTTTGTTGTTGCTTTTTCCCTCTGTTGCCAGACGATCCAGGATGCTCCTCGAGGGTCCTCGCTGGGAGAACATAGAATGCACACGTCCGAGCGATGCCAAGGCATCGCCGCTGTCGCCGCGCGGGCGCGCGCGCGCAGGGCCGTCGACGCCACGGCTTTCAAGGGCCCGGGGCTCGAGGCTCGAGCTTCGAGGGTGTCGAGGGTCTGGGGCGTTGCGGTCTCTTCCACCCCGAGAGTCCCAGAGATCCAACTCTCACATCGCCAGCAGAAAACACTATTGTAGGTTCGTGCGGCGTCGGCGCGCGCACAAGTGTTTGACACTGCGTCGATCGTTGAACCTTGAACCGATCGCGGCCCCGATCGTTCAAGGTTGAATCCCGTCGGGTCGTGTGGCGCTACCATGTCCCTCGGTGTTCCCGCGTCCTTCATTCAATCACACGGAATTCAGCCTTGAATAGGGGAACGAAAAATGACATAAACATAAAAACTCGGAGGTCCGCGCGGATTTCTTGGATCGGCGCTGGGCCCCCCCCGGCGGCGCCCCCAGCGCCGCCCCTGGCGCGCTCCGCGCGCCAGGGAGGGGGGGTCCAGCGTCGATCCGAGACATCCGCGCGGACCTCCGAGGTTTTTTGTTCATGACACTTCTCGTTCCCCTGTTCGACCATGTGGAATTCAGCCTCGAACGCCTGCGCCGGCGCCCGCGCCATCGCCGCGTGAGCCTACTGTGCCGAAGGCTGTCGTCGTTCTCGGCCTCCGGGGGCCCTCGTCGGGCCCTGGGAGCGTCCAACAGTGCGTCTATCCTCGCCAGAAGCTAGGGCTCCCAACTTCGCGCTTCGCGCTCCGCGAAGCGCGAATAACTTCGCGCTCTCGCGCCGCCCTCCCAAAGGGAGAATAGGAGGACGAGGAGGAGGGGGAGAAGGAACGAGGACCGCGAAGCGCGAAGCGCGAATAACTTCGCGCCCTCGGGGGAGCCCTTGTCGCCAGAAGCGGGTGGACTGCAGCGACCCTCACGCCGCGGCTGACGCGGCCGCCAGCGCGGCACGCCGCGTGGAGAAGGGGGCGCTGCGCTCACGCGCGACCTTGCGCGGGAAGCCTGCGCGCCAAGTGTCCGCGCACTCGTCGACCACGCCTTCTCTCGTCTCGCTCAGCTCTCCGAGGGGTACGCTGTTTTCAAGGCAGGCGGTTTCTCCTCGCTCTCGGCCCTCCAGGGGTCGGCGCATCGGGCCCGAGGGCCAGCAGAGGTGGGCCTGGGGCGGCAGCCTGCTCCCGGGGAGGCTGTCGGGACCTCTGGGGCTGAGGATTCTTGCAGGCAGAGTTTCTGCGGACGTCGGAGCCTCGGGCGTCGCAATTCTCTCGCGCCGGGCGACTTCGCTCAGTGTCGGGCTCCCGGGGCCCTCGCGGAGCGAGCTGGCTCAAGCAACGCGACAGGAAGTCGGGTCTGTAGGGCTCCAGGCGTGTTTTTTTACGCGGTGTCGCCACCCTCTCGCGCCGTCGGATCTCAGGGGAAGGCCTTCCAGGTCATGCGACGTCGCGGATCGCGCACCACGTGGCGTGGACGCGCAGGCATCGCCGTCGCGAGCCCTCCGCGGAGAGGGGCAATTTTCCGGTCCAGGCTGCGACGCGCGAAGCGCGAGCATCCTCTCGCCCCCCAGAGTCGATGATCCTCAGGACGTCTGTTAGCAACCACGTCTGCTTGTGCCTTTCAGCGCGACGCAGGCGGTGTACTGGGGGCTGGCACCGGCTGCGCGCTGTCGGTGGAGGTGAACGGGTATATATATATATATATATATATATATATATATATATACATACACACAACGCACGTCCTGCGGATCATCGACAAGGGTTGCAGCGGCTTTCGAAGGCTTGACGAGTGCCTCCGTATGCTCTGAGGGCTCCCTGGAAGGCTTTGGCTTTGGCAAGCTCGGGTGTTTGGTGGATGTTGTCGGAGGCTTCCCAGGGTTCTCAAAAGTCGTCCGCCGCCGCCGCTGTCGTCGTCGCCGTCGCGGGCGTCGTCGTCGTCGTCGTCGTCGCCGCCGCCGCCGCCGCCGCCGTCGTCGTCTCGTGGCCGCGCCGAGCGTCGCCGTCGTCGTCGGCGGGGGCGGGCTGGAGGAGGAGCTCCCTGCGCCAAAGGCACGGGCAGATGCTGGGCAGGGCGACGGCTGCTGATCGACCGGCCTACGAGGCCGTGGGGCTCCTCAGCGGTACTTGATGAAGCCGATCTCGGTGGCCTTTCGCGCGGAACTCCTCGGGAGGTGAAACAGAAACGGCACGGTGAGGGCATTGGATTAGGAACCGTTGGAGAAGGAATCCAGGGTCAGAAAGCTGGCACAAACTGAGGGTTGGCCATGGATATCACCGCCGCCCTCATCAGGTAAGGAATCCTCCAGGGTCTGAAACCTCATTGGCACATTCCCGAACGAACGCCCACACCGTACACCTGTAAGCTTCCAGAGGCCCCAGCAGCGACGGCGGGCTCCCGAGAAGCTCGATGCTCGATGCTGGAGCCTCGATCCTGCTCCTCCTCCTCCTCCTTCTTCTTCTCCTCCTCCTCCTCCTCCTCCTCCTCCTCCTCCTCCCTCCCTCCCTCCCTCCCTCCCTCCCTCCCTCCCTCCCTCCCTCCCTCCCTCCCTCCCCTGCAGAACATGGAAAGTCGACGTAAGCACAAACTTTCGGAGGTCCGCGCGGCCTTCCCAGATCGGCGCTGGACCCCTCCCTGGCGCGCGGAACGCGCCAGGGGCGGCTCCAAGGGGGTCTAGCGCAAATCCAGGAAGCCCGCGCGGACCTCTGAAAGTTCGTGTCCGTGTTCATTCCCCAGACATGCGACGTCCTGATTTCGTCAATACGCGGTCCCCAGAAATCCCGACCCTTTCCTGGAGACCTGTGTTTCATCCTGCATCGTTTTTTTGACAATGCTCGGGCCTGACGAGGGCCCCCGGAAACCGAAAATGGTCGAATACCTCCCATTGTGATGTTACTTATAACGACGTGATCATGTCTGGGTCTCCCTCTTTGCAAGCTCACCCCGCCTGCACGGTTTCCCCCAGGGCCGTAGGCGAACCGAGGAGGGGGAGGAGGAGGAGGAGGTGGAGGAGGGGGAGGGGGAGCAGGAGATGGAGGAGGAGGAAGAGGAGGAGGAGGGGGGAGGAGGAGGAGGAGGAGGAGGAGGAGGAGGAGGAGGAGGAGGAGGAGGAGGAGGAGGAGGAGGAGAGGAGGAGGAGGAGGAGGAGGAGGAGGGAGGAGGAAGAGGAGGAGGAGGAGGAGGAGGAGGAGGAGGAGGAAGAGGAGGAAGAGGAGGAGGAGGAAGGGTCGCCCAAGCCCTCCGGAGAAAACCCCCAACTGCGCCCCCGGCCAGGCCCGTGCGCCCCCCTGGGTTGGCCTTGGCAGGGGAGGCGTTGGCGTCGATCCTGGCACGAGGATGGGCCTGGCCCTGGGCGGTGGGTCTGCATGATCCCGGGCAGTGGGCTCGCGCCCCTTCACCCCCAGATGGGCCCCAGACGTGCTCGCGTCGTGAACCCGACTCACCACGCGAGGTTTCCCGCCGTTCTCGGCCTTCTGGGAGCCCTCGGTCCCAGGGCCCCGGGGCCGTCTAGGAGCTGCTCGCAGGAGGCAGAGCGGGTCCCGGGGAACGGGTCGGGGCTTCCGGGGACCCCGTCCGGGGATGGGTCCCAGTCCCTCCCCCCCCCGTCCCTCGATGAGATGGGGGCGGGGCCTGGACAGAGGCCGCACATCGACTCCCCAGCGCGCACAGGCCGCACATCGACTCCCAACCCGAGGCCTCCATCGATGGGGGGGTGTGGCACCACCACGCCGCCCCCACAGGGGGGCAGGGGGCCCCTCGACTGGGGGGGCGAAGGCATCGCATCAACATGACCGCGGCCGGGCGCAGGCCCGGGATCGTGGACACGGGCGGGCTGCCGAAATGAGGAACGCCAACCGCGCCCCAAGCCCCTCTCTGGCCCCCCGAAGCGCCCGGGTGCACAAGGAGCGCAGGGAGAAACCGCCACGGAAGAACCTCAGGACTAGCGGGCCCCCTCGGACCCACACTGTCCCTCACTTCAGCGCCTCGGCTGCAGCGCTCGCCGGCTCCTGGCGCTTCATCATGATGCCGTACTTGCGGATCAGGCCCATGCCGCCGGGGCGGCCCGACATCCGGGAGGTGCGGCTGCCCTTGGAGCCTGGGATGCCGCGGACCGGCGGGTTGAAGGGGTTGCGCACCACCTCCTGCCAGCAGTCGGCTGCACGCAGGAGACGCAAGAGTGACCCTGGGAAATAATGACCTCTGGTGCGCGGAGTCAGGGGGTGCGCGGGGGGGCCAGACCCAAGCGCGCAGGCCGCTGCCACTGCATCGCGTGCAGCGATCGGGGAACCCCAAGGGGCCCGCACCAAAGGTCACTCCTGCGAAAGGTTACTCTTACGTGTAGCCGAAACATGGGGGGAGGGAGGTTCGAACTTCGAGCTGTCGAAGTTCCTGTGGCTTTTTGGAACGTTCTCGTCGCCGCACGGCTGGGCTTCCATCGAGATTCTGGTCAGAACGCACCCCAGGACGACTCTTGGGCATGACTTTCGAGCAAGGACTGACCGTCCTGGCATTCCTACAGGCCTTCCACGACATGTTCTTAGAACAAGCGAACTTTCTGATACCGGAGACACTGCTCGAAGATCCTCAGGCCGACGTGTGAAAACGAGACCGTCTCGGCCAGAGGCGCTCTAAGAACAGTCCGCGCAGGCCCACAGCAGGCTCCGAACCCCCTTGGCAAGCCAGGACGCTGCGCCCCTGGCCGAGACTTCCGCCCCCCGAGCCCGCCAGACCTGGGCCCTGGAGGAGAAACCGGGTCTGGCAGGCCAGGACGCCTCGCCACTGGTCGAGACTTCCGCCCCTTGGCAGGCCGAGAACCCCCCCTTGGCAGGCCAGGACGCCTCGCCCCTGGCCGAGACTTCCGCCCCCCGAGCCCGCAGGACCTGGGCCCCGGAGGCGCAAACCGGGTCCTGGACGTCTGGCCGCCGCCCTCTGGCTCCCGAGGGCCCTCGCTGGGCCCAGGGACCGTCGAGCTGCGTCGCCAGGATGCCAACGCTCGTCGTCGTCGTCGTCGTCGTCGTCGTCGTCGTCGTCGTCGTCGTCGTCCATGGAAAGCAGGCGCCGCGTCTCAGGAAGCAAACAGGCCCAACAGGCGCACTCGGGATGACGAGCTGCACCCAGGGAAGCCTGCACGGTTCCCCCCGGGGCCGTCGGCGACCCGAGGAGGAGGAGGAGGAGGAGGAGGAGGAGGAGGAGGAGGAGGAAGAAGAGGAGGAGGAGAAGGAAGAGGAGGAGGAAGAGGAGGAGGAGGAGGACGAGCTGTACCCATGGAAGCCCCTGGGTCCAGGGCCCCCGTTCCTTCTTCGCGGCCGCTCCTGCTTCTGGGAGCCGCCGACGAGGCCGGTGTGGCCGGCGGTGAAGTGGACGCTCACTGCCTCCGTGCCGTCGTAGCCCTCCTCCTCGAGGGAGAGCGCGTCCTTGAGCACCTTGCCCTTGTAGATCAGCCTCATGTGCTCTGGCTTCACGGTGCTCTCCTCGGCCACGGCCTTCTTCACGTCGCGGACGGCCGTCGCGCGGTCGAGCTCGATCTCGAACGCGGTGGTTCCTGGCACCTTGAACTGCACCGTCGAGGACTCGCTGCCGCTGTCGGTCTCCCCGAGGCTGAGCGCGGCCATGGTTCCAGCAAGCTCGGCAGCCATCCTGGTGCTTCGAATGGTGATGCTCTCAAGTAGTGATCTGTCTGCCCTATGACCCCCTGAGTCAAACTGGCTGCGGAGGTGGAGGAAGAAGTGAAGTCTTTTCTGCGGGGAGGGGGGGGATGGGCTGGGGGTGTCCCTTGGTCCTGCGGCTGGATTTTAAGACACCTGTTGTATTGTTCTTCGTTCATCACGGGGTTCCCTACCCATACGTTTCTCAGGGCCCCGTAAACCCGGACACGCTAGACCCAGACACCGAACATCCCTCGAAGTCAATTCTTCCAGACGGCGGCACGAACAGAATACTGCACTGCAGCATTTCCATAATTAACCAGGACACAGACCCTAAAAGCCTGCAAGACCCCCCCCAAGCCCGGACACAGACCCGAATCCTGCAGTGCAGCAAGCCAAAACATGCACGGGTGCTGAAACACGTGGCTTTGCAGGAAAACACTGCCGTTTCCTTGGCTTTCCGTGTCCTGGTTTATGTGTGTTCTTTGAGCAGGGACCGACCGTCCCGGCATTCCTATAGTCCTGCCACGAGATGTTCTTAGAACCCAGAAATGCTCGAAGAACAACAACAATGTTCTTAGAACATAACCCCGATGTGTTCAAACAAGACAATATGAACAAACCATGTTCTAAGGACATTTCGTGGAAACCACAAAAGGTTCTTAGAACATTGCTTGGTAGGGCTATGGGCAAGCCAGGACGCTTCGCCACTGCTTGATTCTGGTCTCCAGGGGCCTAAGTCTCGACCTCTTCCCCAAGGCCGGCTTGCCATGTCGAGCTGCTCTACGACGGCCCCCGGGCCCGGCCAGGGCCCCCGTGAGGCCGAAGGCGCCGAGACCTACGTTTAGGTCGGGCATGTCCCCTACAAAAAAAAGTAGTCAAAACAATGCACCAACAATGGTTGAAAATAGCGACCAAATCGTCGCCGTACGATTTCTTGACCATTTTTAAATGTTCCCCCTGTAGAGGGACAGGCCCGACTCAGTGATAGACTGGGGGGCCTGGGGTCGCCCGGGGGGGCGCGGTGCTGGCCCCCCTGGAGAGGCCGAACCATGTCGGAACACCTGGGTCCTTGTCTCGATACCTCGCCCCGAGATCCCATGGTGAGCGTTTTTTGATTCGGCGTTTCGACGTTGGGCGAAAAGGGGGGAGGAGGGAGGAGGAGGATGGAGGATGGAGGATGGAGGATGGAGGATGGAGGATGAGGATGAGGATGAGGATGATGATGATGATGATGATGATGATGATGAGGAGGAGGAGGCGGAGGAGGAGGAGGAGGAGGAGGAGGAGGAGGAGGGCCTGTCGAGGCCAGCCGTGCCTATCTGGGGGGGGGGCTGCCAGTGCGTGCAGCCCGAAGCCTTGCCAGACGGGCTCCTCGTGTACTCCGCGCAGAGCACCGAGACCCTACGCCACGGCCAACCTGCAACATCTAGGGCTCCCAACTTCGCGCTTCGCGCTCCGCGAAGCGCGAAGCGCGAATAACTTCGCGCTCTCGCGCCGCCCCCCCAAAGGGAGAAAAGGAGGACGAGGAGGAGGGGGAGGAGAAACGAGGACCGCGAAGCGCGAAGCGCGAATAACTTCGCGCCCTCGGGGGAGCCCTTGAACATCGCGGCAGCCAACTCGGCTGGGTCCTGGGACCCCAGCTTTCCGCGGCCGTTTTCCAGCCAGATCGGTCCGCGAGGCTCCGGGGCTCCGGAGCAAGGCAGACTCGCCCGTCGCGAAGATAAACTGCAGCGCCAGGATCGCGGGGTCGGCCCCACTCCGTGGGGTTCTCGGGTCATGGCTCAGATCTCCAGCAGCCGTTCGGGCTGATCCGAGCAGCCCCGGAACGCTCCTGGCGAGACGCAGCAGCTGGAACGCACCCCGAGGCCGGAAAACCGCCGAGAACCGACGAACACATCCGAAGCCTCGAACCTCGAACCCGAGCTGCCTTCGCCCGTCGAACCTCGCACTCGATTCATCGGGGCCGCTCTGCTCCACGCCGGGGCCGACAGAGATCGACGCCGTCCTTCTGGCCTCGACGTTCGGGCCGGGGCGCTCCGTCTGAGCGTCCCCGGGCCCCGAAGCGGGGCAAAGTCCTGAGGGGGAACGCTAGGGGGGGGGAACCGTCACATCTTTGATAGATCGGCGACACATCCCCGATAGATCGGCGATAGCGAATCCGCGCGTTCCTTGGCGGGTTGGGCCATCAGGCCCATGTTGGCGATGAGGGAGCGAGTGGCGGTCGATGCGTTCACCGCGAGCCTGTCCCCCCCGAACGTTGCCCCTGGCGACGGCCCTGCTACAGGGGCCTCCTCAACAAATCCTGGGGGCACCTTGGGCCATAAGCGCTTCTAGCAACACCCGCAAGTCGGCGGCGCGGAGGGTCCTCCGGCGCGAGCAGCAGATGGAAGCGCCAATTGCGATCGAGCATCGTCGAAAGCGCAGCGTACAAAGCGTCGCACACTGCAACATGTTGGCGATGGGTGTGTTAGAGGAACTTTGAGTCCAAACGAGACCAGAGGCCTCCTAGATGGGGTCGGAGGACGCGCTGCATCGCCGATGCATCGGCGATGCATCGCCGATGCATCGGCGGTGCATCGGCGATGCATCGGCGATGCATTGGCAACGCCAGCTTTGAGAAAGTCGGGCTCCACATCGAGCCGCATCGCCGATGCGGCGCGATCCCCCGACCCCATCCACTCCGACCCCATCCAGGAGGCCTAGAGAGACATGCCTCTGGCAACACGCGAGACGTGCACCCCGAGCCCTGCGCCAGATGCGCGCGCCAGGATCGCCACCGCCGCCTCCGCCGCCCTCCGCCTCCGCCTCCTCCTCCTCCTCCTCCTCCTCCTCCTCCTTCTCCTTCACCAGGAGCCCAAGGGGGAAACGAGGTGGGGGCCGGCCTCCTCGGAAGGCGCCGGCGCCAGGGCTTCTCGGACGCCCTCGGGCCCTCCGAGGAGCCGCTTCCGTCTCCCGAGGAGGCTCAAATCGCTTCTCCCGTGGCGCGAGGGCTTCTGAGAGGCCCCGCCGCCTTCCGAGAAGGCCCGCTCCCTCTCACGTCTGGCCTTCTGGGAAGCCGCCCGTGTCTCCGGAGAAGGCAGGAGAACCCAGAATCGAATCGATAAGTCGGAGCGGCGATCGAAATCAATCGGATCGGCGGAAATCGGCAGCCGAATCGGGAAAAGTCGAACCGGCGGAGATCGGTAGTTCAGTAGGCCTTCCTTGAAGCATCGGAGCCCCAATCGGAATCCGAGGTCGAATCGAATCGGAATCGAAAGCCACCGAAATCGGGTCGAATCGCATCGAGGGAACCGCAGTGAGCCCGGGAGAAGGCCCAGGGAAGACTTCTCCGAGGGCGCGAGGGCTTCGGAGAAGCCATGCCGCCTGCCGAGGAGGCCCGCGCCCTCTCGCTCCCCCCCCCTGCTCGCCGCCGACCGGCGCCAGTCGGCGGCGAGCACGACGATACAAAGCGCCGGTTTAGGGTTTAGGGTTTTGGGTTTATGGTTTGGGTCCACTAGCCCAAACTCGCAGCCTGTTGGACGTGTCCCACCCACCCATGACCCAAGACATATTGATTTCAAAACGACGACGATGTTGTCTCCACACCGTGTCGCTGTCGCTGGGCCGAGCCCTCCACCACGTCACGGCGGAATCGTAGCGATGCGTTGAGACCCGGCTTGCGCCGCTCACCACCGCCGCCCACCGCGGCGCCCCCAGAAAAGCGTCGACGAGGCGCAGCTGCGCCTTCCTCCGGGAGCTTCTCGGCGAGAGGCTCCCGAGGGAGGGGGGCTTCTGGGCGGCCGTGGTCGTCCTGCCGCGCTGGCTCCGTGGCGCTTGAGCGCGCCGCGGAGTGTCAGCGCGACGGGGCCGCCATAGCCGCTCGGAAACCCAGGGGGCCATGTCCAGCCTCCACGGGGCGGCCCCTGGGGAATGGCACGGAGGCGGCGCTCACCCCGAAATGGTCGAGGTCGCGCCCGTACCTTTCGCAAAGGACTAACGACGCCATGTCTGGCATTCCGATGCCAGCATCTCCTCCCATAACGCCATTCCTGGCATTCCGAGGCCAAGACTCTGCGTGAGGGGTGCGCCGAAATGTGGGGCGGCATAAAGGGGCGCCGAAGGGCGGCCGTGAGAGCTTCAGGATTTAGATATTTATAGGCTCTTAGTTCTTAGGGTTTAGGGTTTGGGGTTTAGGGTTTAGGGGTTCCGTCTCCCTTGCCGGGCGAGGCGCGGCTGCCAGAAAACGCTCGAGCCTTCCGAGGAGGCCCGCCCCCTCTGCCCTCCCTTCATCGGCGCGCCGCCGACCATCCGTTTCGGACGAGAGGAGGGACGAGGGAGGAGGAGGAGGAGGAGGAGGAGGCGGAGGAGGAGGAGGAGGAGGAGGAGGAGGAGGAGGAGGAGGCATAGACGTAAACGTTTGAAGGTCCGCGCGGGTTTCTTGGATCTGAGCGGACCCCCCCTTGGCGCGCTCCGCGCGCCAGGGGCGGCGCCTCGGGGGTGCGCAAACATGGATTAGCGATCCATGGATTTGGCGCACGGTCGCCAAATCCATGGATCGGGGGACGTGCCCTCCCCAAAATGCGGCTGGTGCCTCCTCGTTCGGCGGTGGAAATCAGCGATTTCCCATGGAAACGGGACCCGTCGCTAATCCACGCCCCCTTGATGAGTGTTTGCGATCGCCTGAGCGCCAGATGCGCCGCCAGGGAGGCCCAGCGCAGATCCACGAACTCCGCGCGCACCGCCAAGAATTCATGCTCCTGCCATTTTTGCTTCGTCGACTCCGTCCGCGGCCCCAGGAGAGGTCCCGGCCACCTCCACAGGGGGCACCCCTTCGGCTACACGTAAGAGTGGCCTTTGGTGCGGGCTCAACGTAACCCCCCGATCGCTGAACTCGATGCGATAGTAGCGTCGTGCGCGCTCGTGTTTGGCCCACCCCTGGGCCCCCCAAAAGCCGCGTCACTCTCACCCAGGGTCACTCTTGCACGGCCCCCTGGTTGGCCCACAGCGCCGCCCGTGGAACAGGACCGCACCGTCGCCGCCCTCGAGGCCAGCGCCGTCGCAGAATCGCCGAGTCTCGCAGC